CACGTACTTCTTGTGGAATGCAGTCTTTCACAGGCCAAGAATGTTCAAGACTTGAACGCCAGGGCCCAGCACTTTCTGTACCCAATATTTGTGTCTCGTAGCCAAACGCTGACAGTCCAATCTCCGCTCAATGACAAGGTTACGCTGTTCTGCTGACATAACAACCTCTAAAACTGCCATCGCTGACATTCCAGCCTTAAATACCAAGCCAACCAATCGCATCCCACTAACACGCGTCATACATTCTAGCCCGGAGCTAAACGGCTCCCGCCCGATCGTATACACCGCATCTGCAAGGCTGGTGGTAAACCACTCGACGATGTCGGAAGGCTATATCGATATGGTTTAGGGAGATAGAACGTAGCGGAGTGGGTTTGTAAGGGTGGGTATTGTGAAGCGAAGGTAGGGATATGGTTCGCCAGGCGGTAGGGCGGCCGCTGGGCGGCGGACAGAGGGTTGGCATATGTCCGGTCCGGTGGGAAATCCATGGGTGGAGGGGAGGGAGGAAAAGTATATAAAGGGCTGGTGGTGTAGTGCTGGATTGAATTGCAAATCACTGTTGTGTGTTCTCCCGCTGAGCTACGCAATTCTGGGTACGGTCATCAGAATCACAAAACCTGTTATAATTTTCTCGTTTACGATTGTCTCGACGATACGATATTGGTGAATATAGAATCCGGAGAATAAGTCAGTGTATCTGTTACATTCACAATGGCCTCCGCACAATCACTCGCTGGCAAAGTAGCCCTCAGTAAGACCCCCCCATATGCTCCTTCTGATTAGCCTAACCTTCCTCTAGTAACCGGCGCCTCGCAAGGCATCGGCGCAGCCACTGCACTACATCTCGCGTCCATGGGCGCCAAAGTCGTCATCAACTACGCCTCAAATGCTCAACCCGCAGAAGAGCTCGTGCAAAAAATCGGCCCCGACCAAGCCATCGCTATCAAGGCCAATGCCGGCGACCTCAAGGATATCGAGAGATTAGTCAACGAGACGCTCAAGTGGGGCGGCGGCAGAATCGACATCTTGATACCGAACGCGGCAGCGGGTGCGCTGGCGAACGGACTCGACAACACGAGCGAGGAAGACTTTGACAAGGTTGTAGGGTTGAATGTCAAGGGACCTTTTTTCTTAGTGCAGGTATGTATAGAAGCCCCTATTGCTTTACACATTCAAAGAGATATTGGGGTATCGAAGCCGAAATATTGGACGCATTGACACTAACATGTGAATAGAAAGCAGCCCCCCACATGCCCCCCACCTCACACATCCTCCTCGTCTCCACCTCCCTCACCAACGTCTCTCAAATAACACCCAACTATCTTCTCTACGTAACGACCAAAGGCGCCATCGAGCAGATGACCCGCGTGCTAGCTAAGGATCTCGGACGCAAGGGCATCCTCGTGAACGCGATTGCGCCTGGTCCTACGGGGACGGCACTTTTCTTGAAGGGGAAATCAGATGAATTGGTGAACACGATTGCGTCGTGGAATCCATTTGGAAGGCTCGGAACGCCGGAAGATATCGCGAGAGCGGTGGGGTGGTTAGTGGGTAGTGGGAATACGTGGGTTAATGGGCAGGTCGTCAGGGCAAATGGGGGAATGTCGCTTTGAAGCTGTAGTGGAGAAAAGAATAGATGAGGATATTTCGCAGGCACTACATGGGTCAGAATATATAAGTGTTTTTTATTCCGACTCACGATTTACTGGCCTCGCCGTCTGATCCTTGCCTTTTGCGTGTATAAGAGGCCCGGTCTGTGTCGATGAGTTCCTCCTCGCGCTTCGCACATTGCCTTCTGATTAAAAAGATCGGACTATTGAGAATGTTCTCAACTGACTAAATTGCATAAAACGCAGCTATATGCGACCTCGGTCGGTCGCCTCTCTAATTTCAAAACCCGATTCTCAGATAGCTGGGCGCTCGCGCGCGTGTGGACATATATCAAAAAAATCCACTGCGAATTCCTGAAGAGCAATCTTCACTGAAATAGAATGCGCTTATCAAAGGATTGGATTACTCATATGTGGACGTGCCTGCGGCCGGTCGTCAAGTAGTCAAGAAGGGTATAAATTGCTCAGTCTCCGCTGGATGATTTCTCTTCACACTCGCACTGCCAAAGTGGGTGGACTGAAAATTGCTTTGAGAGGGACAATGTATATCTGTCTCAAAATCATGCAAGACAAAGACAATGTGGTTTCTGGTTTCTGGTTTCCTTAAGACCAAGGCAGACAAATGCGCAGAATGTTTGTCTAAATACATAGAGCCATGTGATATCAGGAAGTCTCTGTCAATGGGGAGGTAGATGTTGCAATGGCCCTGTACTTGCTGTGTGATCGTAAAACGATATTTGAATCATTACCTTGTGGACAGAAATGCCAGTTGCAGTGTCATCGCCTGATCTCTCGTCTGTCAAAATCTGAGCAAGTCATTTGACGTCGATGGACATGTATAAAAGCTTCAGAATTCTCCTGCGAGCTTGTCCTCTACATTTGCACGCTTTACTGTACCGTTGCCCAAAATTATAAGGATATCAAGACATGATTTGCGCTCTAATATCACTTACCTCGAATCGAATGTGTGGCTTCTGGTCCTGCTATTTTTAAACTGAACCTAGCAAAGAGCATGTGGCCCCTGGACGTTGTCCAAGATGCCGTTCATGTATGCTAATGGTCTCCCGCTCGTGATTGTTGTATCAGGCCTAGCCATCACTTATCCCCAAGTCCGGATTCTGTGTAATGTAGCGCCGCTGATTATCAACTCACTGGCAAAAAGCCAATAAAAGCCTGGAGCCCTGCTCTTAAGGTTCTTTACACTTTTTCATCTTTCACGAGGTGACTAAAATCACAAAAATGGAATCGAATGTGAGACTCGTGTTGGTCTAAAATTGATTCAGAGTTTGGAGTATGTGGCCTTTTGCCGTTGTCTCAAAAATTACAGGAACTGGTTACATGACCTTGTGCTCGTGCGGGTTATGATACAAAATTAAAACTTCAATCCAGATTCTTACAATGGTATTTCGTGTTATGGGCCACATTGGATGATTCAAATAGGCCATCAAAGTGTATGCGCGTCTCCTGAATCTTCACGCTCCTTGTCGTCGGCCTAAGACGATTACGGCGGGATATGACATTTTGTGGTGTAAATACATCTAGAAAATTACTTCCCGTACTCTTCCGGCGAGCATAGTGGTTGTGATAAAATTGTGCTCGAGTCCCTGTGCTTCTTAAAAGAAAGAGTATTCCGGTATGCTTTCGAAAACACAACTCGTTGCGCTCATGCGAGACCGTCTACCTGCTTGAGGGATACGTTTGAGAAATGCCGCGCATGACACTAACGCATCATCTGGTCTTGAATATGCCCTCTTCCAGAACATATGTCGTTACTCTGTCTGCATGTTGATTTCTTTATATCAGACATGGCATGTACATAGTACTTAGACATTCCATCTATACTTTTGTAGCTTTAGAGATGTGGCTATATGGCTCTCCTCTTTATGGAGGGTCAACAAATCATTGCTCAGCATTTTATGGAAATGAAAGACTTTTTATTCATGATCTATGAAGAGGGCAACGGGTGTGTCAAACTGGATACTGGACCTAGGAATGAGCGAGTTCTCTGCATCCAATTCTAACGGCCGATCCTGTGTCTTGCTGTCGCCGGTTTCAAACCTCCAGCTGCTTAGGTTCAATAACCTGAGACACTTCCGAGATTACAAGCAGGCGCAATGCCTTGGAAATGTTATATGCTATTGTTTTATCACATGATCAACGTACGCTTATTCTTTTTATCTCCAAACGCTTGCAATAGCCCTGGTCTATAAATCCTCTCGCTCCAGTGTGTAGGTTTCTGCTTCTATCACACGCATCTTACAGGCACTTGAAAAAAACCTATTAGTGACGCGTTATGTGAAAGCCTGCTGGTCAAAAATACAGTAGAAGCGAGCTAGAGGTTGCTAGTGCTTCTTCAAATTGACCCTGACAAATGGTCATGTTCTGCGGTTTGTGAGAGATTGGAAAAAACATTCACAGAGTATATGGCTCTTCTCGCAGTTCACCACGAGGTGTAGCTGCGTTTTTCTCGAAAATTACCTTGTATACACTCACAAACTCGGATTATCGATGAAAGGCTGAACAGAGGCGTTGAATTTGTTGACGGAAGAGGCTCCGTGCACATGCTGAAAGGAACTCCCCTAGTGTTTACCTTATGTCTGCAGCGGCGTGCTTCATCAAAACATTAATCTCCAAGCCTCTGTTTGTGTCACCCATACGAACGTTGTATAAAATAGGGCGGGTAGAGGAGGTCCGTTACCATTGGCTCCATCAATGATGGCCTATGTGAGGAGCGGTATTGAATTAATCTGGCGAGGGGATCCAAGTTTCGTTGAGACTGATAATGACAATGAAATCTAGCACAAAACAACGTCCTTCTTGTAGTCGTGACCTTCTTGGTTATTGTTTGGCTCGCGCAATAATCAGGGTATAAAGTGTGTCTCTTCTTCAGCCAAGACTCTTCCACATACTAGTGACAGTCTGCAATCATGCAACTAAAAAGCATCAGTAATCACGCGTATGTTGATGCTGCCCAATCATCTCTAAATTAGCAAGCGCGTCTTCGAATGTTTGCTACCGTGTTGGGCGCATGTTCTCATGCATGAACGTAGCTCACACTTGGTGCCGAGAAATTGTGTTTGATCGAGCCAAGGGTGTCAAATGAAAATGTCAGAACGGTGTTAGTGACGACCACTACGCGTCATCGATGTTCGTCCATCAGCCCCTCTCGCGTCCCTTCGCCCGACGCCGCAATTACTCATTGTCGTTTATATCTTGAGGTACTCATCCACCTGTTTTGTGATGCTCGCGTCGCTTTATAGCCGAAAAGTTACGCCAATACCTGTGTTGACATTGACTCAAGCATCCGCCACAGTAAAAAAACCTATCAAGCACCCTGACTTCAAGGTAGGTTGCCGTATGCTTAAAGGAAGCAAAAAAGCACAAAATAGAAGGTCGTGCCCGGAATCGAACCGGGGTTGCCGGAAAGCTCCTGATGAGAATCAGAATCCGGAGTGATAACCGCTACACTACACAACCGATTGTTGTGATTTTGTTGAATCGATGAGAATTTCAAAAATTGTAGAAACTATATTCAAAGTATCAAACCTCGACATGTCATGCGACGCATGGTGTAATAGAATTAGTTGTTTCGAAGAAAAAAATTTGAAGCGCAAGTTACAAAATTTACCCCGCCACTGCCGGACCAAGTGGGGTTGGTGGACGACGCTGCTTCTAACACCAAAACAAAGTGAACATCACAATACTGGGGGGCGCATGTATATGCGGCAAGGGCCTGGAATGAGAGAAGCTCACATGCTCGTAACAGTAAGCATAATGGAGCTAGTAGCTCAACAGAGTGAGGATTCGAGTCGCCGTGTGTTCATTGTAAGCCCTGCCGGTGCAGAAGCTTTCGCCAGAGTGCCACCAACAATTTCTTAAAACCCTAATTGAGCCACCAATCGTTTCGCAGAACTCAATCCAATTTTGCTTTGGAAAGGCCTTACTCTTTCCAAGACTTAATGTTGTGGACAGCCCTCCTATTTACATAAGTAAGTATTCTGTATTCTGGAGAAGCACAGTATGCAACGCGTCTGCGAAGGTCTCTTTTAGCACTGTCTATTGCTAGGTCGCGGAACCATACCGCTTCCTCAACGTAATCGACATCTGCTATTGTACATCTTAGTCAAGTGATGTAAGAAATCTGGCGGGGGCCAAACTGAACGTACCAACCCAAAACGCTCAGCTAAAGGTTTCGATATCGTTACACAGGGATTATTTGGATTTCAATATATTCCTTTTAACCTATAGAAGGACTTCTGTCAGCAAAGCATGCAACAATCCTACACAAGGAAACAAGGAAGCCTAGTAGCAGCAAAGAAGCGCTATGAATACGAGCACAAAATCCTCCAATACTAACCCCGGACTCGCATACTCATCCTCCATATCTTCAAAAACAAGTACAGCATACCCCGAGTTTCTGTCTTCAGATTCTAGACTTCGTGATAGTGAAGAGCCACACACGCGAAGGAAGCGCTCGGAAATTGCCGGATCTATCGTATACCGCATCTGAATGTAAAGACCGATTCCTGGAGGACATATTGCTTGTGCCCCTCGTGTTTGCGTACAAACACTGGCCAGTGTGCGACTGAGGATGGGTTTGCGTGCGCAGATATCGCATGTTTCAGCAGATCGTGGCAGATCGTGGCGGCATCCTTCTGATCTAGGATTGCGAGATCGTGTAGACTCAATTCGCCCTACTAGCTCTACCCCAGAGATGTCACGAACTAGTCTCCATCCCACCACACTCATGGGAGACATTCTTCATAACTCCATCTTACACGCTCTTGAGTCTTTACCGCTTCGTAAATACGCCGCTGATAGGATAGACAATATTGGGCCCCGGAGATACGCAATGATGGTGCGGACTCTAGGGAAGTGAAAGATGGATAAGAAAGAGTCAGTGGCGTTATATTGGCCTCTAAAGTTCTTGGCGAACTGCACAGCGTTGCATGGGTCAGTCATGTCGACGTCTGAGGGTCCATCCAAGCAGCATCGGCACGGTGAAATGCGCGTGACGGGCGTGGCCGACGGCCCAGACTCCCCCCGTGCAAAGCCCGGTACCGCGACCCAAACTTTTCAGCTCGAAGAGCTTGGAGAGGCTGTCGACAGAAGTCTAGACGAGCTGTAGACGCATGGATAGCGAACTCTGCCCGAGTCAGAGCATGTACGCCACAGTTGCCTCGACGCACGCGAGAGCGGTGCCGAGGTCCGGAAAGGGACAATGGCCGTTAGCGGCGGTCGACTGCAAAGGCCATGGAAGCCCAATCGATAGTTCTGCTTTCGGCTACCAGAGCCGCAGCAACTGGTCGCATCTGTCAATGCGGGAAAAAAAACAGGACAGAGTTCGACTTGAGGGTTACCCCAGAAGCACTGATTCGTGATGCACCTTAGCTCTACGGCGGCATCGGTTCCAATTCGCTGGAATGCGCTATCAAAGTTTCCGAGTCCACCGTTTTATGACACCATCGCGCTTCCCCGAAAGCCTGGATTACGCCTGCTATAGGCATCCTTGAGGTTTATGCCACTGAGGTGCAGTTTGTCAGAGGTATGCAATTTGGGTTGCGCACTGCCGGTCTTGGTGTCTCAGTACGACCTTGGACGCCACCATCATCGCAGACGAGGATGCTGGTGCAAATCACCGCCATCCTCTTGCTTTTGCTTTTGCTTTTTCCCAACATCCAATGCCTCGGGAAGGTGTGGCGGATTGGTTCCAATTGAGCAGTCTCCAATACCGCTAAAGGCCCGTACGAGTGTCGAAGGAGTGTCCGCAGTGTCCGCAGTGTCCGCAGTGTCCGCAGTGTCCACAGTCGAGCCCACATCAGCTCGCATTCGCATGGCAAGCCCCACGCTCGGCCAAATTCTCGCACGGCACGCCCCCTCCACACGATGATTGACTGACGTGCGTTCCTGGAGGATTTCATGCATGCAAGTGACATCTCGCTAATCTGTTGCGCCAGCCCGAACGAGCATAGCAGATAGGCGACTAACTTGCCCGCCCGTGCCTACGGTGCATGCCGCACGCACTTTGTAAACCTTCTTCGCGCACGCTACCAGGCTGGACCCCCGCGTAGGGCCGCAGGCCTCGCGTCGTCGAGACACACATGCTCAAATAAAGACCAGTTTCCGTCTGGTGAAGATGCAAGCATCGACCCACCTCGGACCATTCTCACTTCATCTGCTCAACTGCGGTCAAGTTCCACCAAGTATTTGCCTTGCCGGAACATAGTTCGGAACCTAGAGAAAGATGCCCCTGTCGTGGAAGGAGACACGCCCCGGTCGCTATGAGCGCCCGCAGTCATGCTTGGAGAAGATGAATCTCCTCAACCGAAACGTTGATAAAGCACTCGACCGCGATAACTGGGCCAAGACAGCCGTTGCCAAAGTCGAATTCGACCCCAAACTCGGCGACCCGGAGCAGGCCCTGAAGTCGGCATGGAAGCAGGTTCGATACAACTACCCAGAGGTTGCAGCATTCCCATACGATGGCATATACATGTACCGGATTGGCAATCCGGAGCAGATCCAGCTCTGGGTATCGGCCACCTTTGTTGTCGAGCGCGATTCTACCGTCGACCAGCTCTTCGGACACCTTCCCAGGAATGAGCAGATGATGTGCTATTACCTCCCCGAAACCTCAGAGATCCTCGTCCGGTCGCCGCATTACCGGCTCGATGCGCGTGGCGCCATATTCATACTCAACTACCTCATCAAGTCGCTCGCCAACCCCGAACCCGTGCTCATCTTTGGTGGCTGCGCCAACAACCTCTCCCCTAGCATCGACAATGCCCTCAACATCGCATACGAGTACGATGCGAAGACCGAAGAGGCAGCCGAAAGACGACTGGCCTCTTTAAAACCACACAACCCCCTCATCGAGCTCACACCAACTGTCAAGAAGAACCTCGCCGGCGCCACCCGACGCCGCTTTATCAAATTCTCCGAAGCCGAAACAAAGTCCATTATCAAAGGCGCAAAGTCTAGCGGTATGGACCTCGGTGCAGTCCTGCACGCCGCCCTCATCGCCGCCGTCGTACGCCTCGCACCTCCTTCCGAAGTACAAAGCTACATGGCCTCCTTCCATTGCGATCTCCGCTACCTCATCCCCAAGAACAGCAAAACTAAAACCGCTCCAACAACATGTACCAGCCTAATCACAACCGAGGTCGAAGTATCGCCGTCGACAGACCTCAAAGCGTACTACGGGCAGCTCGCGCCTGTGTACGCCAACGGCTACGCACCATTCCTTGAGTCTACGGCCTGCTACCACGAGAAACTCGCAAAGGCCATGTACGCCGATGGCAAAGGGTCTGGCTCCGCGGACGGGCAAGCACAGCCGCGTCTCGGGCCTCTAGGCGTGATTGACGAGCAGCTCACCAAGCACGTCAAAGGCGTTGTGCGCGTCAAGGAGTTTTGGCTCGGCGGCGAGACATTGACGAAGCGGAAGATGGTGCATCACTGGATCTGGGAGGACCAGATGGTGTTCAGCTGCTGCTACAATGAGAGTTTCTGGGAGGATGAGTTTGTGGAGCGGTTGCTCGAGACCATCAAGGAGGTATTAATGGAGGAGGTGGCGAAGACGTCTTCGGGAGGCTTGTCGGGGAAACTGAAGGGTCTCATGCTGAAGTAATGCAACGATATGTGCTGGATTGGAGTTCGGGGGTCCGCTTTTGGGCGCACTATATACCACTGTCATTTCGGGTGGACTCATCGCTTCGGCACCTGAATTAAAAGAAGAAACATAGAGACGAGCATTTTCTGCACCACGCTATCCTTCCAATATTGCCTTTTGCGGCAGCGGTATAGCAATCGTATTCCCTAGGCACTAAAACACAACGTAATAATGTGGATAGTACTGTAAGTTTAGTCGAATCGCCATTATCCCGCATTTGCCCTGCGTTCTCCTGACCGATAAGACGATCAATAACCCATTTTCGACTCATATAGGCTTGAGTGTGCAAGGTTGCGAGTCATCGATACATCACACCTTCGGCCACAGAAAGTCTCCCGACCCCGCGCGATAAAATAAAAAACACTCGCCCATCCGCAATACAACCCTTGTCCCTTGCCGCATCCCGGCACCTACTCAAACGAGCCCCGCCTCCTCCTGCTTCCTCGTCACAGCAGTCGTCCCATTCTCCATCTCGAGCGTCCTCGTCCTCGTCAAGTGTCGATGTAGGCCCTCTTCCCCTTCGGCATGCACCGCATGTCCAACCCCAATCTTCTTCAAACTGTCCCGCATCAAGAACTCGTAGTATGCGGTGGCGAAGAAGGTCGCGGGTACGTTGACGAGGATCGCAATCCAGCTGTAGTTCTTGTATGAGAAGGCTTCGCCGCCGAACCAGATGGCGGCGACGATGCGGGTGCCGAGGTCACGCGCGAGATTGGTGGAGATGGAGATGTTGGCGAAGCCCCATACCATGCTGCAAGATCGTTAGTGGATCTGTGGGAGAATAAGAATCGAGGGGTTGAACGTACTT